ATGTCCTTTAATGTATTTATGAGTGAGGCCCTGAAGAGCTATGTTTGTGTAGGTGGGATTTACTGGGTTTTGGGTCTCTGTGCAAGCGAAGGGGCTGGGGACCGCTCAGGTGCCTCCTCGGGGGAACTTCCAGCTGTCAGTATCTGCAGTTGGTTCAGTATGGGCTCGTTTCTTGGGAATCTTCCTGTCTCCCGCCTGGCAACAGAAGCCTGGCTGCTATTTCTCAAGGAGAAGGAGGCTGTGCAACCCAGCCATTTAATGGGTAGAATTTTCTTTGCTATCTGTATTTTTAGTGTGACACCTTGCTCTGGATGGTCTCCCAAGTCCAGACATCTCCTGTTTGCCCTTCTGGTTTCATACAAGGGTTAGGAAGAGGATCTGGGGATAAAACTCCTTTGTAGACTTTCGGATAGTCCTGTTTTCAGCCCCACTGCTCTCCCACCCCCAGGCTTCCTTAGACCACTGCTTCCTAAGCCTTTGGGGGCATGAGTGGACTTGCTTCTGACCCCTGCCCCGAAACTGGCCACGTAGCACCTTTCTCTCCGCTCTCTGTCACCTCTCAACTTGTTGCCCATCAGCCCTCCAGACTCTGGAAGTTTGCTACCGTCTCTTCTTGACTCTTCTCCTTTCCTGTGTATCTGTGTGACCTTGTGCCTCTATTCCCAGAATTTGCTGGGGGCTTCAGAAAGAAGTAGATGTGAAAACGTGTGCTCCCCCTGGCCTGTGCCGGGTACTCAGTACCTACGTGGAGTCCTTAGTAAACTGACTGTTGATGTTAACAGCGCTAATGACCAAGAAAAATAAGTTTTCTGTTAAATATTTTTCTCCTGCGGGATTAAAAAAATACCAAATGTAGGAGTGAGATTAGCAGATTATTAATTAATCACCCTTAGGAAGTAAATATGGCATTGCTGGGAGAAGACCCATCCTCACAGAGAGTTTTGTTTCAAGCCGTTCCTCTTAGAACACGACGTTGCTGCTTCGTGAACCTCCTGCCAGGCGTGGACCTTCCAGGTGTTCGAGTTTGTTTTCCTGGTGAGGAAACTGCAGCCGGGCGCTCCGTAGCTAAGGTCGGAAAGTCTTAGGTGCCTGCACGAGGCTGAGGGTCTCCCCGTCTCCATGACCTTTACACGTGTGAAACCTGAGGGGGCTGTCAGGGTCCTGCCGATGTCAGGCTGTGTGGCCCCTATTCTGGGACAGCAGCTGGCCCCAGTTCCCTTCCTAGGAAGAGCCTGGGTAGGAGAAAACAGATGTGCTCAAGGTCACAGCTCTGGGCTTTGCTCTGCCAATATTATTAAAATAAATAATAATAATAATAATAATGATAATCAATGTCAAAAATTCCCAGCCAGATTTCGACAGAGTATGTGGCTGTCCTCTGGCTGCTTGAGTTCATAGCCTCCAGTCAGCCTTCAGAGGGTTTACCCACCCAGCCCGTGTTTCCTGAGCTCCCGCTATGTCAGGTGCCGTCCACATGCTGGGGGCGTGGTGGGCGACAAGATGGACAAGGGGGAGCCGTCAAGGGACACCTAGAGGAGAGAGGCCGACGGTGAGGAAATGAAGCACAAGGGTCCTTCATGATGACTGGTGAGACTACGGTGCTGAAGCATTCCAGGCGGGGGGGCAGTGAAGAGAAGACCCTGACGGGTGGGGGCCTGGGTTAGCCCTCGGTCCTCACACCCAGCTAGTGGGGTCTGTGTGAGGGGGATCGGCTTCCAGGCGCTCAGGCCAAGCTCACCCCCGGGGAGCGGAGACGGCCCCCCCAAGCCCTCCTGGGGCCCCACTGATGGCCCAGATGCACGTCCCCGCTCCTCTGCATCAGGAGCTGCCGCTCCCCCCACCGCCCCGGTCCTCTCCAGCCTCCCTAACGCCTGAGTCACCAAGGCCCCATGAGACCGGCCTGAGTGCGGCAGAGCCCGCGTCACTGCAAGCTGCTCTTTCTCAGGCCGGGAGCACCATGGGGAGATTAAACACATTCGCTTAGAAAAAGCAAAGAAATAGCTTCTTTTGATAACCAGCATCTGTTAGTTAATGGGCCTCTGAGAGCTGTATACAATTTAAACTTTTTATTAAAAAAAAAAAAAAAAAAGAAAGCCTCATTTACTCTCCTGGGAGCTTGCACTATGAAATTATAAACTGCACTGGTTTTTTTCCCTTCCCTTTTAAACGTGACTGAACACGGAATGGAGAACATTAATTTTGTTTTGTTTTGTTTTGAACTAGAAGTATGGGTTTTACTTTCCCCTCTGTTGATTAAAGCTATCTTGGGTTTTATGTGGAGGGTTCTCCAAGGAGCCAGGAAAGGGGCCAGAAGGCTGGTGTCTGCGGGCTTCTCCCCCAGCCCCCTCGGCCCCCTGGGTCCTCAGATGACGCCTCTGGTTTCAGCCCAGGGGGAAAGGGATTGTTGTCCTTTCTCCAGCCGTGATTCTTTCTGTTGGCGTCCACTGCTCCAGAACCAAGAGGCCCTGGGAGGGAGGGCACCTCGGTCCTGTCAGGGAGACTTGAATTTGAAATGACTCGTGCTTTGCCCCATGAAGCAGCTCTGACTTCCTTTCCCCAAATACAGTCAAGGAGTCCTACCCCTATGAAGGGAACTGGAACCCTGGAAGGACACCCCAGGACAGATGCGCAGTCCTCGCTCGGGGTCTGCGGCCCGGCTGCTGGCGACCTTGGGCAAAGCCCATTCTCCTCTGCAAGCCTTTAGCATCCCCAAGAGCAGAGACACACCCCTCACCTTCTGGGGTGCCCCACCCACCTGCTCTGCTGCGCCCGGAGGGATACTATGCCGGCCATGTGCTTGTAGCCTCGTCGTGAGTCTTGGTGTGAGGATTAACTGGGACCGTAAACATTTGTTTCCTCGACTGTGGTTCTGAGCATGTGCAAGCTCTGCTGGAGAAGATGGCAGAGACTGACTTGGTCCTACCCTGTTGCACGGAGCTTACGGGTGTGGTAGAAGAGGCAGAGAATGAGCAAGAACCGATAAGGTCATCTCCGACGGTGAGCAGTAAGCGTTAGAAAGAAGGGTCTGCATGATGGGATGGGTGGATAGACAGAAGGACAGAAGGGGAAGGGAGGCTGCCGTTTTGGGGTACTGATGGCTGACCTCCCTAAGCAGGTGACATCTGGTCTCAGACTTGAAAAGGTCAAGCTTCTGAGCATCTGGGGGAAGAGAAGCAGCAGTGACACATGCAAAGGCCCCAAAGTAGGGAAATAGTTTGTTGCAATCCAGAGCCAGAAGGAAGGCCAGTGCAGCCTGCGTGGGGGGAGGCATGGCTGGACCTTGCAGACAGCACTGACCCAGGGGCAGGGATTTTCTTCCCAGTGCATCGGAAGCTTCCAGAGAATTTGCAACAGGGCAGGGCAGTCGCCTGAACCAAAGGGGCATAACAGAGAGCCGGGGTTTACCTCCACTGGTTTTATTCTCTTTCACACATTCCCTGGAAGACACTTCACTTCCTTTCTTTAGAACCATAATCCCCTTGGTTGACTTTAATAACCAGCAAGAACATTTTTCAGGCTGTTTAATTTTATTAAAAGATTCAAATTTGATGACAAATGGCGTCATGGTTGCCTCGAGCCTCAGATACAAGACTTGCTGAGCCATGGACACATTATCGCCACCCACCCTCTGCCCCACTGGGAACCACACCCCCCACCCGATGCAGTCTGAGACCGTAAATAATCTAATTATTTCTTGTACTTTGGTAAATACTCTGGGAACACACGTAGCTCTCTGAGACCTACAGAGAATATTAACTTGGTGGGTCTTTCTTCTTTTTAAGGACAATGGGTAGATAAGTTGGAGCCATTTCAGTGGGCTGATGGAACCCCACACAGTCTAACGGAGGACCAGGGCTTCCCTCTGAAAGCATCAGTAACCTCATAGACAATTGTTCAAGATCAGTGATAAGAGCCAGAGATAGGGATCTGGGGGAGAAAGGAGGGGCGAGTCCTAGGCACAGAGTCCCCAAAACCCTCGAGCCCACAAGGATCCCAGTCAATTTCGCAGCATGCAGATGAGGCCTCGGGAACACGGGCAGGGTCCCTACAGAGGCACAGCCTGTCCCCCACCTGGGTGACAGCCCCCTCCTAGCAGAGGAGGACATCAGCACCTTAGCACAGGGGCGAGCAGGCTGTGTCCCCCTCCAGAGGTTGCCATGCGGCCTGGTGACCCCAACCTCTCCTTAGGATGGTTCCAAAGACCTATTCAGAGGTCTCTGCCTCCTCGTCAGTTGAGTGCAGAGAATCCTGAAAACAGAGGACGCCCGTACAAGGCTGATTACGGAGCACCTTAGTGTCACCGCTGTCGTTAGTATTAATTACTTTCCGAAGGCGGCAGGCGCTGCGCTCCCCCACAGACCTGCCCCCAGCAGCCAGCCGGGTGTGCGCGCGGGGGGCGCCCTTGTGGGCCCCGAGGGGCGGCTTCCTTCTCATCCTGGTCCGGGAGGGCCGGATTCAGCCGCGTGCCGTGTCGACAGCTCGGGGCCTGACTTGCCGATGCACAGTCAAACCCAGGAAAGCCGAGTCGCCCCGAAGAGACAGGCGTTCTCCCAGAAAGCCGCCAAGCACCGAAAGCCTGAAGCAGCATCTTTAATGCATAGTCCTGGTTTGAGTTTGTATTGCTAAATTCAAACTAATAATCTTTAAAACAAGAATCCACAGGCTCGGCAGAGTAGGGCCTCGCTCCCGTCCCACAAAACGCCAAGGACGGGGTGGGAGAAGGGGCTGCTGTCCTCCAACCGCCCCGGAAAACCGGGAGCTTGCATTTAGAGCCGCAGAGCCCTGGCCATGGCCACGCCCAGGTTCACGGCCAGCACTCGAGGGCAGGCCTTGCAGGTGCCATGGGACTCGGGGGCTGAGCACCGTGGGGCCCAGGCTGGCAGACAGAGCGGAGGGTAGAGCAGGGGCCCTTCTCGCCGACGCAAGAGGAGTCTGTGCCTGGAGGGAGGCCGAGGGGCACCGAGGGTCCCGAGCAGTGGTCTAGAGCTCAGAGACCGATTTCACAGCCCCTTGAGGAAGGCCAGCCCTAGAGCCAGGGGCAGGACGGGGAGAGGGGCCGCTGGAGGACATGGCCCCCCACCACGGAAGGGCTTCGGCAGAGGCCTGTGCTGCAGGGGTCCGGACACTGCCTCAGCCACCCCGTCGCAGAGCACCAGGGGCGCTTGGTAGGACGTGGGGCGCTTCTCCGGGGTGTCGGGACTTGACCCGTCCGTGGGCCTTTGTCCGATGAAGAGCAGGCTTTGCCCGAGGGGGTCTAGCTCCATCTTGAACAGCTCGTACTCCACGTGGGGGAGCCGGATGCCCAGCGGTAGACACCCGTTGGTGGCTGTGACGTCCCGCTCGGTTCCCAGGGACCAGGCCCCCGGGCCCCCGCAGCTGCTCGGGTCGGAGAAGTTGAGCATGGCCGTGGTGGCCTGGTCCATGGGAGTCACTCGGGCCCGCGTGACCTGAAACACCAGTTCGGTGCCACCGACGACCTTGCTGGAGGGCCTGGGCCTGGTGTAGCGGCCCGCGGCGTAGACCGTGAAGGTGGGCTGGCGGCAGGCGGGGTCTGAGAAGTGGCGGTAGTACCCTTCCCAGGAGCGGTTGTGCCCGTGGAAGGTGAAGAGCCTGGTGAGGAACAGCACGGCGGGGCGCACCTCGCACCCGGGGCTGGCCCACCGGCCCCCCAGGCGCAGGGGCAGGGCCGCCGGGGGGGGCAGCACGGGCGGGTGGTGCTCGTCAGAGCGCGCGATGACGCCGCACGCAGGGCAGGGGTGGGCGTGGCGCTGGCAGGAGACAAACAGAAACAGGACAGCGATCGCCTGAGCCGCGCGAGCGGTCGGGGTGCGGCCGGGAGAGGCGCTGTCGTGGGGTCCCGCCCGTGGGTCACTTCCCGCCTCCCACCGCAATGGCCACTTTGCTCCTGTTGGATCTCGGGAAAGTCCTCCCTCTTCCGGGCCTGTGCACCTGCCGGCCCTCTGCCTGGAAATGCCCCCCACGGGGCCTGGTGGGCGGCTTCCGGTCTGGGTCTCGGCTCAGTGAGGCCCTAGCGAGAACTCTGCAGATCACAGACCGGTCACTTCCTGCCTCCTCTTTCCCCACCCCTCTGGTCGCGGATGGTAGGCTCCCCAAGTGGGAGGCCCCTGTGGCTACTTCGTGCAGCCCCAGGGCCTGGCGCAGGGCCTAGCTCATAGCAGCCCCATGCTGATGGGATGAATGGATGGATGGATGAAGGAGAAAGGCCTTGGGGTTTGGAAGGGGCCTTTTCCACACCTATCATGCTTGGTCCTGGGATACGACCGTTCAAGTTATCTCCCTTCTCCTGGCCCACTGTGACTCCCCCTTCCCCTGAGCCCAAGCGCCAGGTGTTGGGCTCAGCCCTCCTCAGGCAAGTGTTTCGTGTCCGGGCCGAAGATGCTGGGCCTCAGTTGGCCTGGCAGCCTGCCACGTCTCCAGCCCGGAAGTGGTGGAGACAGGCTAGAACGTGCCACCTGGTGTCCCTTCCGCATCCCCTCCATACTGAGAGCTTCCGTGCTCTCACGGAGGTGCCTTCCTCACCTTGGGTGGAGAAGAGAGGCTCTTCTAGCTCTAAGAACCTCTCCCGGGGAAGGTGAGCGTCGTTCCCTCATTGCCTTGGAGAGTGCGTGTGGTGACAGGGACAAAGTCCCATTAAAATACTCCTGCACGTGTACCCCCCCACCCCCACTTAGAGTCTGCCCTGAGGAGGTAGTGGGAAAGAGCGCACAGAGATGTTCACTGCAGTGTTATTTATAATGGGGGAAACCAGCCGCCCTCCAGTGGCCAGCTATGGCCTCGGCCCCCGTTGTCCCAGGCTGCACATTGGCTTTGCCTTCTCTGTGGCCTTATTTACAGTTGTCCGTGCTTTCCGGAGTCATGGAGCTGGGCTTACCGCGAAGCACGTCAACGGGGAGCAGATGCCAAACCAAAGTGTGTGGGTGTCATCAATCTGCATTTTGGAGGGAAAAAGCTCAACGGAGGCCAAAAAGGAACCAGATAGAGACACCTTGGTGTGGTTTTTTTGTTTTGTTTGTTTTCATTTTGTTTTGTGTTTTGAAAGGGAGCTGTTGCCCAGAATTCAGTTCAGAGCATCACTCTGAAAGGTAAACGTCCTGGGAACAACGGCTTGTCCAAGCAAGGTTGATGTGGGAACTAGCAGACGTCCCCTGCTTTTGCCATCTGAGAAGGAAACCTCAGGCCAGGGCTGCAGGCAGGACGGGCAAGGGCACAGAGGGGCATTTGGAGTGTAAACAGCTCCGTTTTTTCTTTTCCTTGCAAAAAACAAAAGATTTCTGCAGATTGCTGTTGGGTGAGTTTTATGCCACACAAGTGGTGTTCGGGATTTTTTGTCTAGAAAGAAACTATCGGAGAACTAAGAAACTATTTGTTTTCTTTTTCAGTTCGTCACATATTCAGCTCTTATTTGTGTCTGTGATAAACCTAAACTTGCCTTGATTTCCATAATATGGAAGATTATATTATTTTTGTTTTGGGGATTTTGACTTGAGGACAGAGGCCTCGAAGCACTTTGAAATGCTAGTAAATGGGTCCAAAAGTGTGATGGGAAGAAATGAGCCAGCTGGGTGGTAAGCTGGAGAGCTGGTAATTGGAAGTCTGGCTGATCAGAGTCTAATTTAGGCATTTTAACCCACGTTCCGACTGTTGTCACGCTGATGTGTATTGACAGAGCACAAGGCCTTACAGCAAAATAATACCAGGGCTGTGCTCCCCGCCTCGCCCCTCTCCTGCAGGCAGGACATTTGAGATCCTAGTAGGTCATTTGGGCAGGGCAAGTGGCTTTCTGCATAACAGAAACAGAGAGCTAGTGAGCCTTTCAGGTGAGAGATGAGCGAGGACAGGCATCTCCTCCCCCGATGTGTTCAAAGGGGATGAAAAACTGAAAACCCTTTCTGGCGTCATTCTGCAGGGGTCCGGAGATGCATGTGTTAATAATAGCAAGGCCCCAGCCAGCAGAATTCACACTTGCGCGGGAGCCAAACTCTTATTGGTTCAAACCTGTTACATAAAGTTATTTCTCGAACAGCATATAACAGTTTCTAATTAACCCCCAGAGGTGACACCAGGCTTAGATGATTTTGGTTGAGTGTTGGCTGATTGATTAGGATTCTACATTCAGGCAATGAATTTGGGGATCAAATTGGTTTTAAATTAACTTCTAAAAATGTTCATGTTTACCATCTGGTTTGGGTCATGGATGAGGCTCAGACCCTGGAGAGCGTAAGGTAACGACTGATTCGTTACTTGGGGGTTTATATGCAGCATTTTCTTCTTTGAAATTATGTCTCTCTCTCTCTCTCTCCTTTTTTTTCCCCGGGCGCGGTGGGGGGGCAGTTGCTGAGCAGGTATTTAATTTAATGTGCGCACATCTGGCACTGCTTGTCTCTGCCCACATTCCTGCTCTGCTGCTCGATCAGAGGGTGGGCTGTGTCAGCCTCGCTGGCTGGTCAGGCAGCAGGAACACAGAGGTCTCCAGCCCCAGAGCCCTGCCTGGGGAGACATGAAAACTGTCATCCACTGTGCCCCAGGGGTCCATCCTGTCCATGTTCTGAGCAGTTTGCCCTCCTAATGAAGGGGTGGGTGCCTGTCATCACCCTGCTGCCAGCACCTTCTTCTCTCTAAGTAGGATTAATGTCAGACCAGCCTAGAACACTGGTTGCCAAAAAGAGCATAATTTTGAGGTCATGGAAAGAACTCAGGCTGATTTTCTGATTATGAGGACTTCTGTGCTTCTCTGCTCCCCAGAGGAGGGGGTGGGAGAGGAGAAGAGGGGAGCGGGGCTCATCCCTAGTACCCTTCTTTGGGGTCCTTTGACAAGCAGCTGCTCCCAGAGGTGAGAAATTGCCCATCTGGTTTAGTTCCTTGAGTACTGAGTACACAGTAGGCACTCAATACTTGCTGAATGACCTGAGGGTTGCCCAAGGGCTCACTTGATAGGGGCTCCTGAACTCATGCCTCCAGTCTGTTCATTCTCACTTTTGAAAAATATTCCTGGGTTACCTAGTAGAGACATTCTTCTCATGGCATCCTACATTGACTTAAGTTTCAAGAAACCCCAACTGATAAAAGTTAACTTGTAATTGTGGGTGTAGGCAAGGAAGCCCTGCAGTTTCTGGAACCTCTGGCTTTGTTTCCTGTCTCCTAGTAACAATGTTGCAGATACTGGGAACATGTTTGCTCTCAATTAGGGAGAATAAAGGTTCCTGGGTCACAAATTAATGCTGTAAGACTTGGGTAGCTGTTTTAATAGAATTGGTTTCTGTTTAAATTCGCTATTTGATGCTTCTGCAAACATTTTCCTGGGGGTGGGGGTGGTGTGGTGGTCCCAAGTCTTCAAGCAGCTGCACTGGAGAAGTCCTGAGCCTCCATGCCTCGAGGGCCAGGCTCTATACCACGTGCCCAGAATACATCTCACACACGTGAAGAGCAGATTCTTTCTGCCTGTGTGCTCGTCAGGCAGAGAAGGGCTACCAGGTCTCCCCCAAATGGGGGCAGTGTGCTGTGATCACTTAATTTAAAATCTAGGTTAAGGACCACAAGTGAAATTCACATTGGAGCTGGGTTGGGGGAAGTACATCTCCCTTCACAGGGCAGCCTCCTGCCCAGAGGGCAGTCTGTGGGCCATCTGGGAGCCTGTTGGAAATGCAGAGTCCCAGGCCCCACCCCAGACCCCCCCCAGGACCTGACTCTGCATTCTCAGAAGATGCCCAGGTGATGGCATCTTGAGAACAGGGGCCGAGGAGTGCTGCTTTACCCAGCATTATTGTGAATGGGTACACTCAGCATCTCTGGCTCCAGACACCAAAGAGGTGCACGCAGGGCTCTTGGGGTCACCTTCTCTGGGTTCTCTGGCCGTCCAGCAGAGCCCTGGAGGAGGACTGACTTCTCCTGCATTCATTCACTAAGCTTTATTGGCCCCCACTGTGTGCCAGACCCTGGGCCGTGTGTAGGGACCCAGGAGAGGACAGGGCCCCCACCCGTGCAGAGTCTACTGCTAGAGAAGGTGGCAATTAACAAGTGAACAAACCATGCAGCCCGGGAAGCTGAGTGCTGGAAAATGTGCAGAGTAGGGATTGGCGGGAACAGCTGATCTGAGAACTGAGACACACCTGCCCAAGTGCCCAGCACGAGCAGAAGAGGACCCTGTGGGGACCACAAGAAGGATGTCAGGAGGACCAGGCACAGACAAGCTGAGCAGCGGTTCCTTTGGAGAAAGCCAACCCTGTATAGACCTGTCTCAAGCAGAGGGAACAGCATGTGCAAATGCCCTGAGGCTGGCAGGCCAGCAAGGGGGTACAGAGAGGGTCTGAGGCAGGGACCAGACCGTAGAGGACCCGCTGGGTTGGGGCCCAGAGCTCACCCTCCCAGGGCCCCAGACTCACCAGGGCACTCTGCAGCGGGCGCTGGTAGCCCGTGGGCCGGTAGTGCCACCTTTCCCCTCGGTCGGTGTGGATGTCCCCCAGGTAGAGCTCCTCCACCAGCCGGGGCCCAGCCCGAGGCTGTGGCTGCAGGTGCCGCAGCATGCGGACCAGGCTGAGCTCGTGCATGGTGAAGCCCAGGGCTTCCGTGCAGTCCTGCTTGGCCCGGGCGCTCAGCAGCTCGTACAGGGCCCCGGGCAGCCAGGCCCGGGCTGGGGGCAGCCGCCGGGCACAGTCCTGGCCCACCCGGGTCTGGTTGAGACTCCTGGTGACATCGAGGAGGCTGTGGCGGCTGTGAAAGACGATGCCCACCTTGTGCAGGTGGTAGTCGGCCTCGGTGGCCCCTCGGGTGACCCAGGAGGCCCGGCGCAGGCGGACTTTGCCCTTGATGAGCAGGGAGTGGGCAGGCTCCCGGCAGAAAGGGTCCCTGTAGTAGAACTGATAGGCTCGGAAGAGGCGGTTAGGGTAGAAGGTGTAGGAGCGGGTGAGGAACTCGGGTCCCGGGCGCACCTCACAGCTGGCAGAGAGAGAGAGAGAGAGGGCGGGGGGGTTGGGCAGAGCAGGGAGAGCCTGCATGGTGAGCCCCTCTCCCTCCAGGCTGGACCCTGCTCCCACAGCCTCTATTTCAGACCTCAGTCCAGAGCTGGACCCTGATAAGCCTCGGTTTCCCTAATTGGTCTCAGCCACCCCCTTTGAGGCCGAGGGCCTTTCACTTGCCTTGTGGCCTCCACAAAAGCCTTCTTCTGCTTCCTCCGATCCTAACTGCCTCCTTTAGCCATCACCCTCCCTCACGGCATGGGTCCTCATACCTGTGGATACCTCGTGGCCCAACAAGAACGCAGACTCTGCAGCCAGAGGACCCAGGTTCAAATCCCATTCCTGTCCCTCAGTGGCTGTGGATAATGCCCAGCTCCTTCCTCTGTGACATGGAGGCGTCAGACCCACAGTCAGAGTCTCCAGAAAACGTGAAGAATGGTGGTGGTGCCCGGGAGGTGCTTAGGAAACAGGCTCTTTTGCATCATTTGGGGGGCCCCATGCCATGAGCCCCAGGAGGCAGTGGCCTCCCTCTTGCCCCAGTGGATCCTCGGCCCCTGGCTCAGAGCCTGGCACACAGCAGACCCTCCCCAGGGCCTCATGGAGGGAATCGTGGCTGATGCGCAGTCACTTCCGGTCTCCCCTTCACTCGGTTGACTTCCCTGACCAAGTTCCATTCGTGCCTGTGACAGGTTTGTTGATCTAAACCAGGGATCACCAAACTTTTTCTGTAAAGGGTCAGGTAGTAAGTATTTCTGTTTGGGTGCGCGAGCTGGTCTCTAGCGCTAAAGCAGGCAGAGACAATAAGTAAATGGGGTAAGGTGGTGCATAGCTGTGTGCCAGTAAAACTTTATTTACATAACAGGCAGTGGGCCAGACCTGGCCCCAGGATCGCTTCTGCTGATGGTAAAGCAAGCACGTGGGGTTGGGCACAAAGGGAAGCTGAATGACTCCTAGATCCACGGCCGCAGCCGGGTTTGGGGGCAGGGTAGCCTCTGAGACTGCATTGAGGGCGCAGACAGGGGGGTGGCTGGGTGAATTCAAGGGGGAAACAGCGGGCAAGGCCCCCTTTACACGCTGCTGTGAACTCTCATAGTAGTTTTCATAGCAAGATGGATGGAGCGTAAGAAACATGTTCTTACCCAGCACGAAAACAGTTCCCTTTTCTTTTCTTCCAATCTTTCTGATTATGTTAAGGAGAAAGTCTCTGTTGGAGCTAACGTGTCTGTAACACCAACTTCCCTTCTCTTCCCGAGAAAACGGACTCAGGACCCAAGGCAGGCAACGAATCTAGTGAGAATCTAATTATGTTGTTTCATTTTCATTGACTTTCTTTTTTACAGTTACCTCCTATTTATGGCAGGAGGCTCTGCCCTCCCTCTCCGGGATGATACTACGCTTCCTTTAAAAATAATTGCAGTACGCTATAAATGTGTACAGTTTGCTGTTTACCAATTATGCCTCAATAAAGCTGGAAAAATAAATGAATATATTTAGGTAAACAAAAACAAGCTGGTGTAAAGAAAAATGGTAAAGAATTGCCAGTACAGGAGGTCGTTGAAGACGGAGGGAGGCGACTCACACACATGAGCCGGGAGCCATAGTCCTGTCCTCACCTGCATCTCGGACAGGGCCGGGGGCAAGAGATTTGCCTACGGGAGGCAGCAGGTCAAAGTGAACAACCTCAGTGGGCCCCAGACTCTAGATCATTCCCTGCATCGCCTCCAGGAAGCAGCAAAGCCTGTCTGGAGAACATGAGGAGGAACTTTCTAGGAAGACAGTTCTAGAAGTTTCTAGAAGAACTGTCCTGGAACGCTGTTGTCTCAGGGCAGAAGGAGCCTGCACCCAGTTCTGACCTTCCCCACAGCCCAGTTCTGTCTTGGGGTGACCCACACCGGTGGTGCCTGGATCTCACCTGGACTATGGAGTCAGGATGGGGACAGAGCCTGGGAACGCATCCAAAGTGGCTTAGTAGCGCTCACGTCCCCTCCCTCCACCCAGAGTGCTAACAGATGTTTGGCAGTTGAGTTTCTCCCTGACCCCAGGAGGTACATGGAGGACGTGGAGAGGCCAGTCCCTGACTGCAGAACAGGACTGGCCCCAAGGGGATGGCGGGGGAGGAAAGAATGTACTAGGTGTGGAGGAGGCCATGGCCGCCCTTCTCCCTCTCCCAGGAGGGAGGACTTAGACAGCTGTTGTAGCATCTGTGCCCCACAGATGAGGGTTAGAGCACAAATCCCACTGCCCAGAGCAGCGAACAGGGCCTCTGAAATGTCAGGCAAGCCTGTCTGGTTAGGAAGAAAATTCGACAGACAAGCAGGGTGGCTGGGCCCTCTTCACCCTCTCCTCTGCCTCGTCCTGTCTCAGGACCTTTGCGCCAGCTTCTCCCTCTGCCTGGCCACCTCCCCTGGATCTCTGGGTGGCTGATTCTTCTTTCAGCTCTCAGCGGAACATTGCCACCTCTGAGAAGCGCCCCTCCGCGCCCCCCCCCCCCCGGATTGCTGGTTCTCACATCCGTGGCTCCATGTCCTTCGTGGCAGAGCTTAGCACCATCTCAGGTTCACTACACTTACTTCTGGGTCCACATGTCTGCTGCCTGTCCCCACAGTGGCTCCCCCGTCCCTAGTGGGCACTCAGTAAGTACTGCAGCCTGGGTGCTCAGTATGTCACACACATGGATTTCATCCATGGCCGCATTCGATTGGGACACGTTCCGCCCACCAGGCTCGTGCTGTGGAGGGGGGTCAGCGGAGCCACACGTTTGGCCGGTAGCAGGCCTCTTGGACAACTGGTTGAATTGGGTCGTGTGGACACTGAGGCCCAGAGGGGGTGCAGTCTCCCTGCCCGGGGGCCTGTGATCAGGGTGACCTCAGGGTCTTACCCGGTAGAGACCCAGGGCCCATCAAGGCGTGGGGGCAGCAGCACAGTGACGGGGGCTCTGCTGGGCGGGGGCTGTTGGCAGCGGGGTTCCCAGTGTAGACGGCTACCCCCGGCGGTCCCAGTCGCCTCTGTGGTGCGGGCTGCAAAGCAGACAGACAGGAGTTAGGGGTCCTGACGCCCTCCAGAAACTCTGCCTGCCCTTCTGAGCCATCCTGGGCCACAGCGGGCTCAGAGGCCAGCCGGGGTCTGCCGCCACCTGCACCGTGGCCCTGTCCCGGGGCATCCAGCTCCGCCTCAGCCACACCTGAGTCAGGGTGCCTGGGTCAGCGCCTGGAGTTGTCACCCGCATCTCCACCAAGGAGGGGCACGACCCCAGGCTCCTGAGCTGCTGTGCAGCCAGGCACTGGCACGTGGTGACTGAAGGACTCCACACTCCAGGACAAGGGGCCCTCTAGACTCAGCCCAAGGTGCTGGGGCAGTGGGACTCCCCCCCCCCCCCCCCCCCCCCCCCCCCCCCCACGCCAGGGGCCCCCCCCCCCCCCCCCCAGGGGGGGGGGGGGGGGGCCCCCCCCCCCCCCCCCGCCCACCGGCCCGAAGAGCCCAGGTTCTCCTTGACCTCTGCCCCATGGAACAGACCAGAACTGCCGCCAGCCTCTGGAGGCCACTCGTGGAATGGCCCTTCCTTGGTGCCAGGCCCGTGTGCTGCCCGCCTGCGCACCACGGGCCCCAGGCCCACACCTGGCCCTTAGCAGGTACCTGGGAAGCGTGCGGCGGGTAGCGGGGCTGATGGGTGCAGCTGGCAGGGTGGCCAGGGAGGAATCAGAGGCTCAGGGAGGATGGCCGTGAGCAGCCGGGGCCTCACACCCTCCTGAGTGACCCCACATGTGCTCATCTTATGGAGACAAGCCAGGTGTGGCCTTGGGAGCGCGCCCAGTCTCTTCTACGTGATGTCCCAAGGCGAGAGCACCAGGGCCTTCAGCTGCTAAAGAGCAGCGATTTCCCCAGAAACCGTCATCTCCACTCAGAGGGCCGGGCTTGACAGAGCCCAGATGGCGGGATGTGTGGGAAGCCTGGCGGCCAGCGAGGTCTGAATATTACAGCAACAGGCTGTGCTGAGGGGCCGCCTCGACCCGCTGGCCGCCCTTCCGGAAGCAGGCCTGCCAAAGACACTTCCTCCCGCAGAGCCTGCGGGCCAAGTGCTCGGGGGCCGGCTTGGGGACACAGGCCCAGAGGGGCCCGGGGGGGCGCCCAGGAAGGCTTGTGGGCTGCATGGAGAAGCACGTGAAAGGTACACTCTGCCCCCTTCTCCACCGCACACTGCAGCTTCCCGGCGCCACCAGAGAAGGCCTGGGGAGGCCTGAGGTCCCCACACTGTCCCTCAGCAGCTGTCTGATGGGGCGGGTGGCCCCGGACAGCTTCTCCGGAAAATGAGGCAGAGTAGATCCCTCGCCTCCTGGAGGCCCGGGGGCTCCTCTGGAGACTCGTGGGGTCCCCGGAGACCTACAGACACAGAGAAAGTGCAGGTGGGACCTGCCACAGCAGTGAAGGCAGCCACTGGTTCTGTAAACCGTGTGTCCATCCCACGGGTTTTCGTGGCCCTCGGAGACGGCCGTGAGCGTTCGCTTCCTTTCTGGGGCAGAGAGACAGCCTGGGGGAACCCAGATGCTGCTCAGGTGTGACAAAGGACAAAGCTCAGACGGTCAGACCGGCCTGGTGGTTCCACCGTTGGCCGTCTTCCATCACAGCCGGGGGACGGGGCTTTTTTCAAGACTTGGGGGGATGGAGTGCTGAGTGTATGGGTGAACGGATGAGATCGCAGACCAGCCGGTGCAGCTCCGGGCCCTTGCTGCATTCCTGCTGTGCCCTCCCTGGTTTTAACCAGCCAAAGGGGAGAAACGAAAACCACCGGCCAGCCAGCCGAGGCTGACCTGGCCCCAGACGACACATGGCCACTCTGCGGGGAGCTCACGGGGAGCACGTGGCAAGGGGAGTCTTGAGAAAGGAGCTTGTGGGTGGTTCCGCAGTACCTTGGGCACATCTCATTTCTTGAGGACCAGAAGCAGGACCTTGTGGCATGTGGGCAGGCACTGAAATCGGGCCAGATGGCCAGCATGGCCCTGTCAGGGAACCCGAGCCAGGGCCGCCTCCGAGTCAGCTTCTCCAACCTTCTTGTGCTCCTGCAAGCCCCCTCCTCGGGAGACACGGGGTCCCCTGGATTCAGTTCTGCGAGTTCACGTGAACACCATCAGTGTCAAGGAAATCTATCCGAATGTTTTGATTTGGGGAATGTTGATTCGGAGAAGCAGAGGGAAGAAAAGGACCAAAGGGGTCAGTGTTACTTGCCTGGTTGGAAGATCGAGCTTGTATCTCAGAAAAAAAGAGCAAACGGGCCCTGAAAATTATATTGACATTGTTTTCACAAAGCTCTGTTTCTTGAGGAAATGTTTTCTGCTGAAAGCAAAAACAAGTCTTTCCCCCTGTACTCCCTGAAGCACTGAAGAAGGCCTAGATGTTGCTTTTTTGCTGTGAATTCTCAGACGGCATGTTCCTGCGGAGGGTGTTTTAGTCTGTCTTGTTTTTCAGTGAGAAATTAGGATTTAATGAAGTCAGGAGACGACACGCAATCTCGCTGTATCCACAACAGACACACAAAATGCAAAACACAACTGGAGGCCTTTGTGGAAGGACCAGAGCCGAGCCGGCCTCGGCCTCTTGGCCGTTTGCAGAGCTTCAATGTAAAGGTTGCAAAAATTAAATTAACCAGTTACAAATGAACCTGGGCAAGTTGTTCTGTTGTAGCTTTTGAAGTAGCTTTTTTATTTTTTTCTTTCTCTCCCCTTCTCCTGCCCCCCCTCCGTTGGCCCCCCCAACCCTGCCCCAAACAGTCCCAGCTCAAGGAACATCTGAAAGCAGATGGCACCGCAGGCCAATTGCACAACTTTTCACAGGGACCTGTTAGACTGAGTTCAATGCACGGGCCAAATTGATTTTTATCAACCATGGATTTTTAATTAACAGCGGTGTCCACTTACCGCCATCCATTATTTACTGTTTACCCACTAATTAAAAATTATGCTGCTTTTGCACTCGTAAGAGCAGGGACATTTGAAATTAGATAGCCTCGTTCAAATTACCTGCAGAATTACATCCAGAGCGCCCAACTGCTCAGAGCGAGCTTCTGGGGTTTAAAATATGATCTGCTCCAACCTTTACGTGTTACCGTGAGTCAGGATGCCAGAGACAGCCCACACAGGCCCGCACCGTAGGGAGCCTGCCTGGGATCTTAAGGGGGAAGAATGCTTGATTTTCTCGACTGAGCGCAGGCACCCAGCGGAGACCATCTCCAGATCAGCGGCTGCTGAGTCCTTGTAGCAATCCCAGAGGGAGCGGCCTGTCTGTGCCTTCCACGTGCCCATCATGTCTGTGGACCAGCTGGCGTGGTCTCACTACTACCCAGGGCATAGGTTCTGTCCATGCCCCCATTCTGCAGATGAGGAAACAGGTTCAGAGAGTGGAGATACTTGACTGGTGTCACTTACCCCAGACGGACGCTTCTTATCCAATTAAAAAATAAATTTTGGCAAAATAAACCCAACGTACAACTCATCACTTTAACCCTTGTAAAGCCTACGAGTTAAAATTCAGTAGCATGTAGGCCATTCCCCAGGCCGTGCAGCTGTTAGCACTGTCTGGTTCCAGAATGTTCTTATCACCCCAAAAGGAGGCTCTGTACGCATCAGTGGTCACTCTCCATTCTCTCCTCTCAAACCCCAGCAACCACTAATCTGCTTTCTGTCCCTGTGGATGGGCCTATTCTGGGTTTTTCCTAGAAATGGCATTACAAATAGGTGTTCTTCTCATATCCAGCCTTTGGAGCACGTCTGTTCGGTGGATGTGGTGATCCTCATTTTAGAGATGAAAATGCAGGCTCAGAGAGGTTCACACCCCGCTCCACGATGCGTGTTTTCTTCAAAGATCACGACAAATATGCGGCCGAGTGAAAAGGGGAGGAGGTGGGGAAGAGACACGGGGTGCGTAGACAGCAAAACATTGGGTCTTTGGAGGTCATTCTTTTGGGGACAAAAAGCAACAGAAAAGCAGTCATATCTCCTATCCTAATTGGCTTGTGCTGGGGTCCTAGGAGGTGAGCCCGGTGATTCGGGGACGGCGGCGAGCACTCAGCCGGCTGGTTTTGCACTGATTTCAGAGGGTCTTAAAAAGCAGCCACAGTTCCCACAGCAAACTTGGGCTGCACGGTCCACATTGCTGAGGACAAGACTGAATTTTAAAAGGGGCTTGGTCTGTGCTTGATTTGAAAATATTAAAGAATGCTTTACGTGAATAATCCCTAATGAGTAAATGCATAAGTGACTCGGCTATAGCCCGAGGGGCACACAGAACGAGGGGGGATGAGCATGAGGTTCACTCATCACTGCACCCCAACCATGCAGAAGGGCAGTGGCTGTGTGTCCTAGAGCAGCTCTTTCAAAAGACCACAAGTGGGGTGACCAAAACAACACAACTTCATTCTGTCAGAGCCGGCAGACCGGAGGTCTGAAACCAAGGTGTGGGCAGGGCCATGCTCTCCTGAGGCCGTAGGGGAGGATTGTTCTGGTATCTTCTGGCTTCTGATGGTTCCAGCCCTTCCTTGGCTTGGAGGTGCATTGCTCCGGGTTCTGCCTCCATCGACACATGGACTTCTTTCCTGTCTTTCCAGCGTCATCCGACACATCCCATCATATTTTTTTATGGGGTGTTCCTAGGGAAGGACAGGGATGAAACTTTCCTGCCTCAGGGCTGTCGTTCATGCTGTTCCTTGGGCAGAGCACTGTTCCTCCGCTTAGTGCTGTGTTCTCCCTCTGCGCGGAGGTCTGAGGATAAATGGCAGCTCCCAGCAGGTTGACATCGGACACTCCCTTCTGCTATTTTCTGCTCCCTTTTTGTTCTGTGCGGCACTCATTGCAGCTGACAATTTTTTTTTGCTTTCTGTCTTTTATGTTCTTTTATTTTTTGGCTTTTCCATTTGAAATAATTTCTGACTTACGAAAACGTTGCAAAAGTAATAGAAAGTTCTAGAAAACTTCATCCAGTTCCCCAAATGTCACTATCACCCACAGACATGGTACTTGATCAAAACTAGGACATTGACATTGGTAAGGTGTTACTAAGTAATCTACAAGCCCTAGACAGGTTTCACCAACTCCCCCATGACTTTCTCCTTTTTGGTGTAGGATCCAGTTCAGGATCACACATCCCATTTATTTTTCACATCTCTAGTCTCCTTTAACCAAGAACTTCCTTGGTCTTTGTCTTTCACAAGCTTGATGCCTTTTGAAGACCTCTGGCCCGTACTTCGTAGTGTGTTTCTCAACTTGGGCTTGTCTGATGTTTATGATTCAATTCAGCTTTTGCAGTTTTGGTAAGAATGCCATAGAGGTGATGTGTGACTCTCAGGACAACATCTCAGGAAGCACATGGTCTCACTTTGTCCCGATACTGGTGATGTTCACTTTGGTTAGTTGCTTTAGGAGGTGTCTGCCATGTTTCTCCACACTGTTAAATTACTACATTTCTCTTTGTAATTAATAATTATCTTATGGGGATAGACTTAGATAATGTAAATGGCTTGTTTCTCATTATACGTTCCCCCCACTAATTTTAGCATCTGTTGATGACCATTGATGATTCTTGCCTACAACAATTATTCCTGCAGTGTTTTCCAAATGGGCGTTCCCAAGTTCCATCATTTTTTCTGAATGTACTGATTGGAATTGTGCTGTAAGGAAGCACTTTCTTTTCTCCCACGCATCTCTTTGTTTAATTGTTATTTGCATTAGTATGAACCCAGATATATATATTCTATAGGTTACGACCCATTGCTATCATCTGTTCATTTTGTTGCTGAATTGTCACTGACTTGGTCTTTAGGTGATCATTCAACTTAGCTCTTATGTAACTTTCTACATGACCTTGTCATTTTTGTGAGCATTTCCTTATTTTCTGGTACTGAAAGACCTTCTAGGCTCATTGCTCTGGAATCAACCATTTCTTCAGGGAGTCCTGGTTCTTTTTTTTTTTTTTTTTTTGGAGGATGGTGTTTAGAAACCAAGATCTGGGTGCTGGGTGTGCTTACTGCTGCTGGGGTGTCCCTCTAGGTTCCTCAATTTTTTCCTTCCTTCTTGCCTTCCTCCTTCCTTCTTTCCTTCCTCCTTCCTTCCTCCCTCCCTCCCTTTCTTCCTTCCTTCTCCTCTCTCTGCCTTTCTTTCTTTTCTTTTTTCTTTCTTTCCCTTTCCTTTCTTTTCCTTCCTTCCTTCCCTCTCTCCCTCTCTTTCTTTTTTTCTTCTCTTTCCCTTTCTTTCCCTTTCCTCTTTTCTTCCTTCCTTTCTCTCATTGTCTTCCCACTAATCTGCCTGTTCATGAGGACAGGTCTTTATCTCTCTTGCTTTCTGCTGGTTCTTCAGCACCTAGCATAGTGCCTGATGGATGCTCAATTCATATTT